TTGAGCCCAGGAGATTGAGGTTGTTGTGAGCTAGGCTGATACCATGGCACTCACTCTAGCCTAGGCAACAAAGTGAGACTCTGTCTCAAAATAAATAAAAAATAAAAAATAAAAAAATAATGATTATAATGAATGAATGAAACAATGAATAAATGAACGGGATGCAGTCATGACCCAAGACAGGAAGGGAATCATTAAAGCCATCATTATGGTACTTCTGCAACAGGGCCAGGCTGGGAAATTAGAGCCAAGGGCAGACTAATAATTTGGTACCTCTTCAAACCAACACTCTTTCAATATTTGTTCAATATTTATTTGAAAGAGAGGCCGTGTGGGGCCTGGGCAGGGAGGGGCCTGGCGGCAGCCCTTGGCCTCGCCCCCATCTGCCTGCATGGTCCCACCCTGGCCCTGACCTCGCTGGCCCTGCTGAGCTTCACTGGAGCCCTTTGGCTCTCCAGGACCCCCGCCTGGGAAGGGAGGGGAGTTTAATGAACAATTGTTGTAGCCTGAGCGCCCCACGGGGATCTCACCTCTGTACCCAGCAGCTTAGCGACAGTGCTCCTGCCAGCCCCCTGCAGCGCTCCTGCCTGGTAAATACTCTTCTCTCCAACTCGTTAGGCAACCAGTGAAGCTTTCGCACCCTGAGAGATGAGCGCCCCGGGCAGCTGCCTGGTGGGCACCGCCCCCCCACTGGGTCTCTTCTCCAGGTGACTGTGGAAGGGAGAGGCGTGGAGGGGCAGCTGCTCAGTGCCCCCTCAGCCCCCTGCCCTTAGAACAGGGTGGGCAGCAGAGCTTGCGCAGGGGCCAGACCCCATTGCTTCTAGCTCTGAGCAGGTGAGAGGAGAGTGACCAGCTGCCACAAGGGACTCCCACTTCCTCCCAGCGGGCACAAGGCCCAGCGTGCAGGGGGGCGTCTCAAGCCCACAAGCGAGGAGGAGCTGATGGCGTTAGCTCTGCTGCAGTAATGCTGCCTGACTTCCGCTCCCCAGGGGTGCCCAGGAAATCCAGATGTCTGGCCAATGAGGCGATCACCTCACTGGAGCAAAATCTTTGAGTAAATACACAGTCGCTCACTTCTGTTCCCACTACTCTGCTTGCCTCGGCCTCCCCTGCTTTCTGCACCCAGCCCCCACCGCCCACCTAGGCCCCTGCACCCACAGATTCCCTGCCACTGCCTGCCATTCGCCCCCCACAACTGCCTTCTCCAGCCCCTCCTCAGCCCCCTGCCACCTGAGCAGCCATAAAATGCAACCTTGGAGCACCTGAAGAGAGAAATACATGACACCATTAACACTATCTCTTGAGCACGCACCGTGTGCCAGGCACGGGCTAAGTGTGCTGTGCACAATCTCATTTACTCCTTACAGCATCTCTGAGACACGGGTGCCCTATGCTATTCAGGGCAAGGCTCAGAGGTCAGACAGAGCCTCGGCCTTCTCGCTTACCAGCTGTGTGACCACAGGAAAATCATGTAACCTCTCTGAGCCCATCTCCTCATCAGCAATATGGCACGATTAGCAGTCCCTACCTTATAGGGTTGTATGACATAAAGAAATAACATGATTAGCTCGGTGCCTGGCACAAAGGCTGGTTCATGCAGTTGTCACCACTATTATCCTCCTTTTAGATGAGAAACTGGAGAGGTTAAGTCATGTGCCAAAGTCACGTGTGGCTAGAATGTGGCAGTATCAGGAATCTCACCGAGGCCTCCCCTGACCTGTCTCAGGGGCTGCGGGCTGGGGCCTGGCCAGGTATTCTCTCCCTCCCCTGCGTCCCCCACGCCGTCCCTCCCGGGGTCACAGGCTCCTCTCTTTTCTCGCCTGTGGAAAGGAAACTGGAACTGAACGGAACTCAGGCGTGCCTGGTAGCTCCCTAGTGACAGCCAGCATCCCACAATGCTCTGGGGAATGTGTGCACACGCCCACCTGCCGGGCCTGGAGGAATCTGGGCTTCAGATTCCAAAGGTAATTCAATCCCCCGGTGCTTCCTCCCCTCCCCCGCAGTGCTGGGTGTTGGAGAGGCGACACAGACCCAGTTTCAGAGGAACAAGCCGCCAGTGCAGAGCCGCAGGCAGCACCCAGCCTCGCTCCCAGACAGCGCCTTGCTGCAGCTACCTGGGTCCAACCCGCACCCACCCCTACCCTGCCCACCCCCGGCCTCTCACAGCCCCTGGCCTTGCCAGCTCTCCCCGTCCAGGCGTTCTGTCCCCCTCCCTCGCCCCTCCCTGAGGAAGTTCTCTCTCCCTGCCCACCCATTCCTTCCTCCAAGGCCCCAGACCCAGAGCTACTTGTCAGAGTGGACACTCAACAACTGCCACTGTGGACCCCCTTTGCCCACGGCCACCACCCCACCCCACCCCCTGCTTCTCTCCTCCCGTGGGCTCAGCTCAGCCCAGGCTCTGATATTGGTGCCCAGCACTGGGGCTGGGGAAGGAGGAAGCCTGTAGCAGCTCAGAGCTCCTGTTTAAATTAATAATGAATAATAAGTCAACATGTAATTAGAAGATGAGGGCATGTGGCTGTGCTCCCTGGGCCCTGCCCTGGGGGAGCAGGCGAGAGCCCGGCCACATGTGCTCCCGAACCCCCCAGGTCCCCACCAGATGCCCCCCCATTCCCCACCCTCCCAGGTTCACACTGGGTCCTGCGGCCAGCTCTCTGGCCTGTAGTCCCCATTCATTCAGCCCTCGGGACCTGCCCCACTTGCTCCTGCCCTGGCTTCATCCCTAGCCTTCCCCATGGGCAGAAGGAGTCCATTTCCTGAAGTCCTGAGGATCCCAAAGTCTTCTGGTGTCACAGCTTCCTGAGGGACCAGGGACCCATCCCCACCTAGGCCTTGAGTATTTGGAACAAGAAGTGCCCAAAGGACTACACAGCAAGTCAACCCCCACACCTCTCCTGCCCACGCCACTGGGCTCCCGCACTCCTACCCCCTCCATTGACATTCTCCCTGTTGGCTCCCACTCAGCAGGGGGCCTGTGACACCCCTCCAGGGGCCCTCTTCATCCCAGCCAATCCCCTGTCCTCTTCTACCCTCCAACTCCTAGGAGAGCCTGTTGGGCCACAGAAGGCAGCTCCCCCTCCCCTCCTGGCCCCCACCCCGTCCCCTCTCCCACTGTCCAAGGGAGACAGCAGGTTGCCTTCCAGTGTCCAGGCTCCTTGGAGTGTCCCAGGTCCACCCATCTGGGGCGGGAGCTGGAGCGGGAGAGCCCTGCCCCCACTGCAACGCATTTGTAGACTCACCTCTTTAAGGCTGAGTTGCTGCCTGCACTTCCCAGTAGCCTAGTTAGCTCTTATCCCTTACTCTGGCCTTACAGGGCTTCGTGATCAGGTTCACCTCTGACCCCTTCCTCCAAAGTATCAGTGAATTACGAAATGGCAGTAAACCTGATCAACACCCCTGTGGGCCAGGCAAGGGGTTTGCAATCATTGGCCCACTCAGAAGCCACAAGAGGCAGGGGCAGTTGTCAAGTGCATTTTACACATGAGGAAATAGTCTCAGAGAAATTACATAATTTCCTCGTTTGGACGGGCACCAGCGGCTCACACCTGTAATCCTAGCACTCCGGGAGGCCAAGGCGGGTGGATCGTTTGAGCTCAGGAGCTTGAGACCACCCTGAGCAAGAGGGAGACCCTGTCTCTACTAAAAGTAGAAACAAATTAATTGGCCAACTAAAAATATATAGAAAAAATTAGCTGGGCATGGTGGCGCATGCCTGTAGTCCCAGCTACTTGGGAGGCTGAGGCAGGAGGATTGCTTGAGCCCAGGAGGTTGAGTTTGTTGTAAGCTAGGCTGATGCCACGGCACTGTAGCCTGGACAACAGAGTCAGATTCTGTCTCAAAAAGAAAAATAAAAAAATAATTTCCACATTCACCCAGCAGGAAGGGCTAAGCTGGGAGTCTGAGTCTGGAGCCCAACTCTTCCAAGGGAGACATTTGGCCCTAATGTTTATCGGTGGAGGATTATGTGTGGGGGAGGGGGTGTGTGCAGGGGCACAAGGAGAGAGGTAGGATGCAGGGAAGATTCCAGAAAGTGATGCAAGCAAAGTGTGTGCAGCGGGGGAGGGGGGGCGTGTCAGGCGTGTGAGAGGGTGCAGAAGCAGCTGGAGTGGATGGGGAGGTGTAGGGGGGCAGGTGAGGGTGAGAGAGCAGGGCGAGGATCAAGTGGGAGGTGGCGAGTGTCAGGCGTGTGGTGTGTGAGTGCAGGGGGGGAGGCATGAGGAGTATCGGGGTGAAAAGGCCGACTGCGGATGAGCAGGAGGTGGGGTGCTGGGTGCGGAGGGGTGTCGGATCACATGGAGAGTGGCTAGAGGGGAAAGTGAGAAGGGTACAAAAGGTGGGAGGACTGTAGGTCCCTGAGGGTCTGGAGGACTGAGCAGGGGCAGAGAGTGAAGGAGGGGTGGTGTGGGGAGGGGTGGATGGGTCTGAGGGGCTCTGACAGTTTGGCTTTTGTCCCTGTCCATGTCTCTAGCTGCTGCAACCCCCACCAGACCTGGCCTTACTGCCAGGCTCATTTCAGGGATGGGTGGAAATTTCCATTTCAGCAAAATCCATTTGTAAAGCCCTGGAGCTTTGAGCCTCGTTCTGCTCTGCCTGCCTGGCTCTGGCCGCCTGGCTCTGGCCTGCCCAGCTCACCCCCCACTCTACCCCAGACCTCCCTCTGCTCCCCCTCCCCAGCGTGCAGAGCTTGGGCTCAGGGCCTGGCCACCCCCAGCCCCACCCAACCCCGCCGCTACAACCCACAGAGGACCCCGCCCCTGCCAAGCATCTTGCCATCCTGGGAGGCCCCAGAGGTCTGCAGGTATGGGAGGCTGGTTAGTGCCTTGCCCTGAGTCAGGGTCCCATCCGCACACCGTCTGCCCCCACGACCCCCTTCCCGGTACATAGGGTGGCTGTGATATCACAGAGTAGCAAAATGGGAAGAGCTCTTCGGGATAATCTTACTTAGGCCCTTTCACTTTATAAATGGGGAACGGAGGCCCGGAGAGGAGAACGCACTTACTTGTCCAGGGCTGCACAGCTGGCTGGCATGCAGAGCCAGAATGACCGCATTGCCTAAAGGAGGAATTGTACACAGACCATCGTGCAAACTCGGTTCAAATCCTGGCTCTGTTGAAGAGGTGTGCCTTCCATACGTGATGTTACTTCTCTGCAGCTCGGTTTATTCATCTGCCAAGTGGGGTTCACAATAACCCTCCCAGGCCGGTGCATGGTGATGGTGAGGTGACCATGGCCCAAGGCAGCAAAGTGGCAGGGGGCAAGGGGAAACAAAGGCCTCTGGACTCTTGAGTTCAGCGGAGAGGCAGGAGCAACGCCCATTCTAGACTCAGTCACTGGTGTCCAGGCCCTTTGCCTTGCCCACAGCTGCCCACGCGCCACAGAAACCACAGGGAACAGCAGGCATGGCACGGCCAGGCACTGAGGTACTGGGTGGGAAGATGAGCTGCGGTCTCCTGGGGGAGGAAATGAAGGGACAGCTTGGGCCATCCCACTCAGGCCTCTGGGCAAGGCTTCTCTCCTCCAGACCAGAAGGAGTGGTCCCTCTGGAGTGGAGGGTGGGTTTTCTGGCCCCAAGTGGAAGCCCTGCATTGGGGGTAAAGACTGGGCTCCCCTGGGGCGGGGCAGGGTCTATCTGTATGCGGCACCACAGCAGTGGATGTGGAGGATCTACCCTCCGACACAGAGAGGCACTCAGGACAGGTCTTAGTAGCTGGTACAGGCAAAGCTCCTGGGCCACCTGACCTAGCCTGCTCTCTAAGTCCAGCATCCTGGGTGCACACCGTGGCACATGCCCTGGCACATGTCAGAGCCAGCCCTGGCTCTAGCACATGCCCCAGCACAGCTTCCAGCTGCTGCCCTCCTCCCCCCAGCCCCACAGGAATCCCAGGCCCCATCTGCTCCACTTCCCTGCATTTCCCCTGAACATCTGGACTGCTCCTGAAATCTGGCTTCTGGTTCCATCCAGCGGGAGCTGCTGGAGGGAGGAGGAGACTCATGGGTCCCATTAATTTTGAGCTGGGGCCTGGGAAGGTCCTGTCTAACCCCCACTCCCAAGCCGCATCTGCCGGAATGAACAGGCCTAACAGGATGGTGGTTCCTATTTCCTACTCTCCCTAGCCTTGAGCACCCCCTAACCTATGGGGTTGTAACTACCCCCTGCTCTCGGGTACACACACGCTCCCTACACAGCCTCCCCAACATTTGCCCAAGGGTCATGAGTTCTCTGTGCCAGGATTAGCTCATGTGTTTAGCTTTGCACTCTACACACAAAGGTTCCCAGACCTGCCTGGCAAGGGCTGTGCCCCAGAATCACTCACCTGGAGGACAGGCTGCTCCTCCCCTTCCCCACTCCTTGGTGGTGGGAGCGGGGGCTAGGGTAGAACAAGGCCTTTGGTCCAGAACAGCAAATGTTCTGAGGCTCACTTCGGAGACACCCAGCTCAGGAAGGCAAGGCTGGGAATGACCGCCACCCACACCCTTCCTTTTCCCCACCACCTCTGCCCTACATCCACCTCACCTGATCCCTTACCCTTTGCAGACAAGCCAAGGTTCTGGTTTGCAATTGGGAGAGGGCTTCTCCCTTACAGGATGCTCTCCATGGTCCTGAAACATAGGCAGGGGCGGAATTACTTTGTGTGTGTGTGTGTGTGTGTGTTTTTTGTTTTTTTGGTTTTTTTTGCACACAGGGTCTTGCTCTGTCTCCCGAGCTACAGTGCAGTGGTGTCATCATAACTCACTGCAACCTCAAACTCCTGGGCTTGAGTGATCCTCCTGCCTTAGCCTCCCAAATAGCTGGGACTATAGGCATGCGCCTCCATGCTGGCTAATTGTTCTATTTTTAGTAGAGATCCGATGTCTCTTCTTGCTCAGGCAGGCTGGGAACTTCTGGCCTCAAGTGATCCTCCCATCTCAGCCCCTCAGAGTGCTAGGATTACTTTGAGGAGTGGGTCACTCCTGGCAAACATCTCCAGGACATTGTGCCCAGGTAAGAAAGGAGAAGATAAGGCCGGGCACAGTGGCTCATGCCTGCAATCCGAGCATTCTGGGAGGCTGAGTCAGGGGAATCACTTGAGCTCAGGAGTTTGAGAAAGAAGATAATGGAAGAGATGGCAGTGGAGTGACTACAACAGAGACAGTGTGAGACACATGGAGACAGAGAGAAAGGGACCAATGAGAGGCTGCCAAGAGAAAGAAAAAGTGATATTTTACTCCTTCTAAGAGAGATAATCTGCCCTTTGGGTAGTGGGTTGAGGCCCCTCCCTATCCCTGCGCAAACGCCAGTTCCTGTTTGCCCCTGCGTTGGGGACCACTCAAAGCCCCAACCCTAAAGATTAGGCTGTGGCTGCCTCCTCCCCGAAGGCCGAGAGTGGAGACTCCTCTTCAGACTTTGCCTTCCAAGAGCAGGTGTGGGGCGCCGAGGGCCTGTACAGTTGCCCTAAGAGCGGCGCCCACCCCTGTCCCTGTCCCCTTTGGAGTCCGCAGCGCTAGAGGGAGGGGAGGGCGCTGGCGGACAGACCCAGCCCGGAGCCCCTGGGGCCTCGGCTGGAAGGAAGGAGCTGGGGAAACAGAAAAGAGTGGAAAGCGGTTTCCCGCTCGGTTGTGGCTGTTATTATTTATTTATTCATGTATTTTTTTATTAAGGAGGAGATGTCGGCCTAACGAGCGGGGAGCCTGGCCGGCTCCGAGGGGCGTAGCTGGGGAATGGGCGCTGGCCGCGCAGGCGGGACCCCTCTCCAGCCGCCGGGGACCCCTCGGAAGTCTGTCCTCGGCCTGGCGCCCTCCCTCTCCTCCGCAATGCGCCTCCGCTGGTGGCTGGTGCCCGAGGACCGGACACACGCCCGAGTCCCTCCCCCAGGGCCTGGCGCTCCTCTCTCACCCACTCCCCTACCGGTGTGGACGACGGGGAGCCAGAGCTGGAGCCAGCGAAGGCTCCTCTCCTCCGCAGAGACCCCTTCCCGCCCCGCCATCCTCTCACCCGGCGTCCCCTCCCAGGCTCCCCTGACTGCAGAGCCGATTCCCAGCCCTTGCCAGGTAGGAAAGTAGCTCCTTCCTTGTCCCTTAGTCAGGGGCGACCTCGCCCTTAATAAAGGACCAGACTTGGCCTCAGTTTCAGTTTTCAGTCAAGAGCAAGCTTCGGACCTGGTCATGCCTCAAGTACTAGACCAGCTCTCAGCAGGGCTCTCAGCTAGCCTCAGACCTCCACTGAATCCTTGGGCCCTGGGAATGCTCGCAGCTGCAGCCTGGTCCCAATTTTGTGGCTTTATCTGGGAAGCTAGCCTTAATCCCAGTCTATATGTAGGTGGGGTAGCCTCAGACCAAACCTCCAGGCCCTAGAGTAGGCCTAAAGTTTAGGGTAGTCAAAGAGATGGGAAACTCTTGGAGGTCAATGCCAAAAATATTAATATTAATAATTGGGGGAGTATGGCCAGGGGACCAACTGGTTGGTCCCTCTGGCTCAAACCACTACTGCTTTATGTCACTGGCAGAGGGTTCCTCCTACTTGTTGTAAGGACCCAGCTGAGGGCACACTGGGGGAGGGGAGGGGGTGGTTCATGGAGGGGAGCAGCTCTGGGGACCTGAGCCTATGTGAGCACAAAGTCACAGTTCCAGTATGCTTCCCTCGATGTCCATGAAAAGCTGGACCAAGGGAAGTGATTTGTCCAGCAAACATCAGCAGAGCCCTGCTGTGTGCCAGGACCTGGGGACAAGGAGAGCACCCCCAGTAAGCCGGGCAGGGGGTGACAGCATAAACATCTTAGCAGCACCTAACTGTTGAGCATGTCCTCATGCCGGTCCTGTGTTTCACGGCATTATCTCATTGCATCATAACAGCCCTGCAAGGTACACACTGTCATTGTTCTCATTTTATTTATTAAATGACATTTTGTTGCAGAAGTAATACATGTGCATTGTGAAAAATTTTAAAATACAGAAGGCAAAAATATAAAAATGAAAACGTCATATTCCCACCACTATTAACACTGTAATGTATATCCCTCCAGATCTTTTTCTTATATACAAGTACCTTTTTACCAAAATGCGATCACCTTATTCATACTGCTTCATGATCTCCTGTTTTTTAACTAACAATCTCCACCTTTTCCATTTCAGTAAATTTTCATCCCTTTTAATACCTAGAACATGTACAGATTTCCCCAACTGACCCCCAAGAAGTCCCTTACAGTAGGTTTGTCAGAATCCAATACAGGCATGGCATCTGATCATTATGTGCATTAAATTATCTAACATAGTATGTTCTCACATTTTTTTTTTGTCCTTTGACCCACTGAAACATCCAGGTCAGTTTTCCTACAGAGTATCCTTCCTTCCAGCTGTGTGGTTACTTTGTGCAGTTTTTTAGCTTGAGACATTATCCTCTCGTTTCCTGTAAACAGGAAGTTAGATCTAAAGGCTAGAACAATTCAACTTAAACGTTCTTGGCTAGAACACAAGTGAGGCGATGTCTTATATACTTCACTTTGCATCACATCAGAACACATAAAATTTCTAACTCATCCACCATTAGAAATGCTCGCATAGATACCAGCTGATGATGGTTCCGATTTTTCTCTCCACCTTCCTTCTAGAAAATAATGTTTGTGGGTTACTCTGGCACTAAACAAAAGTTCATTTCCCCATCAACCATGACCTAATGGTTATTAATGCCAATTCATAATGCTTGCCTGGTTACTCTTATTTTTAAACATGAACAACTGAGACTCAGATTGGAGAACAGAGTCAGTCAGTCTCACACAATCAGCAAATTAGGTGTTGGGCTAGAAATCCAGTTTTCTGCCTCTTTCACATCGTACTGAGTTGGGTGCATGTTAGGTGCCTGGCACACATTTAAATGCATGAAAACCTGCTGGACAAGGGGGTTCCCCCTCTTTGCGGATTAGGCTGACAGAGATGGAAAAGGTTCTTGGTGAGGCCCAACCTGCCTCTTGGTTGAGCGCTGAGGCCCCTAATGATGGTTGCCAGCGAAGCAACTCAGCACCCATTATACGGCATGCCATGCTAAGTGTGTTACAAACGTTAGCTTCTCTAATTCTCCCAACAAACCTGGAAGGCATGCCTTATTACTACGCCCCCTCTTTACAGATGAGAAAAACGAGGCTCAGAGAGGTTAAATATTCACCAAAGGCCACACAGCCAGGATTCGTTTTTCTGACTCTAAAACCCAGGCACTTCACCACCACGCTGACCTGGCCTCTCACACTGGCCTCCCTCCCAGTCCTGAGACCGAAGAGTGAAACTGGCAAACAAAGCTTGGGGCCTCCTAATCATGTGGGCTGGTTCTGACACTGCTCACAGCTCTGTGACCATCTGTCAGCATCAACGAGGGTATCAAGGGGTTCCCTGGGTCCCCTCTGCCGGCCTCTACTCACCAATCTGTGCAATTTCCAGGATGGGATGTGGTTCCTCCAGCCTCTGCACCCCATTCATCCTTGGCAGCTCCATTCCCCACCAGCCGGCCCTGGGTCTCCCTCAGAGCTCCTCACCCTGGGACAACAGCCTACCATTTGCGAAACATTGTCCTTTTCTCACATTTATGTAGCTGGACCCCACAACTACCCTTGGAAGGAGGCAGGGATTATGTTTCATACATGCAGACACCGAGGCGTGGCGAGGAAAGCTCCGGGTCCAGACCTGCCTCCACTTGCCCTAAGCAGTGTTTCCGAGGTGGGACCCAGGCCCCTGAGCGAGTTCAGGACTAACCCCAGAGTTGGTGTTTTGCTGCTACTTGGAATGTGAGTCTTGTCCCTGGAGTGGGGACCTTGAGGTCAGCCTTGTATCCTCCAGCCCTGTCAGGGAGCAAGTCTCTGAAATGTCACCAGAACTGAGGGCATCCAGAGAAATGTCAACAAATGCTGATTTGGGTCCCTTGGCAGAAGGTGGTGCCAGCCCTTCTCTGAAGAGCCTTCTCCCACCATCTCCCTGTTCCCAACAGCAAGGAAGAGAAGCCGAAGAGCCCTTAGAGTTTGCCTAACCCAGCCCCGCCACTGGACAGACAGGGGACCTGAGACCCAGAACTCACGGAACAAGCCAGCGATTTTTTTTGTGTGGCAGCATCTCCACCCATCTACCCCATTCCCCACTCCCTGCCACCTCTGTCTTCCTCCAAGCCCTGGAGCCTGGAGCCCCTTGAGTCAAGACCCTGATTCCCAGAAGCCAGGGGAGCGGAGGGTGGAGCCAGCCCCGGGCTGTGGGCCCAGCACTAAGGGCTGCGGCAGGGAGAGCAGCTGCAGCCAGCTGCCTCGCCAGCCTCTGCTCTCCTCTTCCCCATAGTGGGCTGACACCTGGGCTGGGCTCTTCCTGTGCCTCCGGAATGGAGAAAATAAAGTCCTACCTAATGGCGGAGGCAGTGACACAGGAGCCTCCGTGTGTCCTGGGAACTGACCACCTTCTCCAGGCCCTGTGTGGCTGGTGCTGCCCCATCTCACACCTCTGTCTGTGGGAGCCCCTTGTTCCATCACCCTCCAGACCCTAACCAGGGAAGGCTACTTCTTGCCCCAGCCTGGTCAGTCCTACTAAAGCCTCCATCCATTCACTTTTACCTCCACTGCATGCAAAGGACCCCATCTCCCCAGCTCACGGGAGATGTTTTTAGCTGCAGAGTCTGCATCCTCCTCTCTCCTGGCCCTCTCACTATTGTGTATACAATTGTAGGATACACTGGCTGTTCAGAGTGTGTCTCTGTTTACACTGAGAATAAGAGTTGAGGCTGGGTGCGGTGGCTCACGCCTATAATCCTAGCACTCTGGAGGCTGAGGCGGGAGGATCACTTGAAGTCAGGAGTTCTAGATCAGCCTGAGCAAGGACGGAGCCCCATCTAAAAATAGAAAAAATTAGCCAGGCATGGTGGCGCATGCCTGTAGTCCCAGCTACTTGGGAGGCTGAGGCAGGAGGATCGCTTGAGCCCAGGAGTTTGAGGTTGCTGTGAGCTAGGCTGACGCCACGGCACTCTAGCCCAGATGACAGATAGAGACTCTGTCTCAAAAAAAAAAAAAAAAAAGAGTTGAATGAGCGGAGGGCCTGAGTTGATTCCATTCTCATCTTCCATGCCTGCCATATCACAGGTGCACAGTAAATATTCATTGAGTTATTAATAATAAATATGGAAGTCCCAGATCAGGCCACACCTGCACTTCATAGTCTGTACTTCTGTCTTGAAGCACTTTGAGGCTGATCTTCCCCACAGACTATAATCTCCCCAAGGACAGGGACCATGTCTTTCTGGCTCGAGTCTGCATCCTTAGTAGTTAACCGAGCATCTGGACCACAGTAGGTGTCTAGGAAGGGAGTATTTAAATGAATGAATGAATACATAAAGGAATGAGTGATCTAGGCAGGAAAGGATTTTATCCTCTTATCATGATGAGGGAATGAGATTTTGGAGGGGATGGAAACCTGAAGGTTGTCCAGATGTTGAGTGGTAGAGTCAGGATTCTAAGGCAGGGAAGGCTGGCGTGGGAGGCTTGGGGCTACTGCCCAGGGAAAGGTTGGTGGGTGGGGCGGAGGGCTGGAGGGAGAAGCCTCAAGGCTAAGGCCTAAGCAGTTGGAGCCTCTGCCTGGGAGGAAGGACTTTCCTGGAATTATCCTGCCTCCAGGTGGAGAAGCAGGGAAGCCTAATTGCTTTTATCAGCTCCTGGAGCCGGGTCCATAAATCATGGCTCCACTGAAAGCACAGGTGCCTTCTCTCTGGAGACTGGGGCGTGACTTGATGTGAACTCTCAGTGACATGAAGAGGCTTGCGGCCTCCAGGTGCAGGTGCCTGTGACACCCTGCCCAGAATAGAAGGTGTTGCTCGATAGGGTCTGCCAGTCAGCTGCAGCGCTCAAGGTGTGCAGGGCCCGGGGTCCAGGAATGGCAGCCGAGACCAGGGAGGGAGAGTGGCGAAGGCCCAAATAGCCTTCCTTTGGTGAATTGAATCCCATTCACAATTTATCGAGTGCCTACCTTGTGCCAGATGCTGTGCTGGGCGCTCGAGACCGTGAGATGGCTCCGAGGCAGGAGAGCGAGAGAGGGAGGCAGCTACAGAGACAGTAATCACAACATGGGTGATAAGTGCTTAAGAGGGACGTACAAAGTGCTCAGGGAGCTCAGAGCTCCAGGCCATTAATTCATCCCCTGGTGGGGAGGGATTCTGGAAGACTTCACCGGGAAGGAGGGAAGGAGTCGTTTCAGCTGGGTTTGGCCGGCTCCAAGGTTGGAGGAGGGCGGGAAGGGCACTTCAGGCAGAGGTGAGCACGTGTGAAGGCAGGGGGTGCCAGAGGGGGACCAGAAACTTCTGTGCGGCTGGAGCAGAGGGGGAGGCTGGAGGTGAACCGGACAGGGAGCCTCAGGCCAGAATCTGAAAGGCCGTGAATGGTCCTACTGGAGACTTTGGACTTGATCCAGCCGTGGGCAAAGGGGAGCCATTTAAGAATTTTAAGCAGGGGTGTGTTTAGAAAGCCTTCTCCGAACCAGGACTGCGGCCAAGGGGCAGAGAGAATAGGGGAAGGATTCTAGGGACATGTTAGAGGGAAAATGGACCGGACTTTTCCTTCTTGAGTAATTCTTTTGGACCTTCTTGCCTTTCTAGGCAGGTTCTGCGTTCCCCTGGGGACGGAGGCTGCTCCCTCCTCTCCGTGCCTGGTGCAGGCTTCTGTGTTCACAGAGTTGAGCCCACAGGGGCTGCCTGAGTGACAAGAACAGAGCAGCAGAACTGACTCCCAGTGGTCAGGGAGTCCTGCTCCGAGAATGAGCTGGTGACTCCTCTTCGACTCAGCTCACAAGCCCCAGAGCAGGGCAAGGCTGAGCCCAGGCCTCTGGGGAAGGCCCAGGAGGTCCTCCCCGCCCTCCCTCCTCTTCTTTCCCTCTGCTCCCTCCTCCTCCTCCCCAGAGCCCTAGCTTTCTTGCCGGGAGGCTCTCAGAGCCAGCAGAGCTGTGGATGAAATGGTTCGGTGGCTCCAGCCCAGCTGCTGCCATGGCAACCAGGCTGCCTGCCAGACCCACAGTCAGGAGCAGGCCCAGCCTTCCTGCTCTGGAACTACGATTCCCAGAATGCAAAGCACCTGGGGCTATGAGAGAAGCCCACCTCTTAGGTGGGCGTCCAGCCAAAGCCTTCCAGCTTGGAAGACACACAGGAGCACCCCCAGGAGAACAAGTACAGAGCATGGGCACTTTGTAGGGGGAGGGGGCGGCCAGAGAGCAGGAGATGCTTCTGCAGGAGGCCTGAGAACCTCCCCTTGTCATGGCCCATCCGGCCCATCTGGACATCCGGAAGGAGGCTGATGGCTACGGGAAGATGTGAAGGCCGGGGTGGGTACTAGTCCTGGTTTTCAGCAATCTGTGGTGTTGCTTGAAAACATTCTCTAACGACTGTCCACTGCTGTCGCTGTCTACCACCACCTCCATGGTCTGAGCCTGGAAGGCACAGTGTGCCACTAATTGGTCTCTGCCTCACTTGAGCCCCTTCCTTCCTTCCTCACACCGAAGCCTGAGTGACCTTTTCAAAATGCAATTCTGATCATATCACTACCGCCTGTGCCCGCCCTCCTGCTGTTTAAACTCTTCAGTGTTTAAACCTTTTGCTCTTAGGTGAAGAAACAAATTTCTCACCTCAACTGCCAAGATCCTGCATGGTCTAGTCTCTTTCTACTTTCCAGCCTCCCCAGTCACCCACACACTCACCAGCCCTTCCGGACTTTCATTCCCTTGTAGAATCCATGCTCCCTCCTGCCACAGGGCCTTTGCCCATGCTGCTCCCTCTGTCCAGAACACTTTTCCCTCCACTGTTGCTCTACACAAAGTTCTCTATCTCAGAGAAATACCACCTTCTAAGGGAGCCTCCCCCGGCCTCCCTGACTTGACCAAACCCCCCTTTTATATATTCTTGTGGGCACTGAAAGCCTCTCCTTTCTGTCTGTCCCGGTGCATTTTACATTGATTTGTATGATTATTTGACAACTATGGATCTCCCCACAGATTACAGCCCCTGGGAGAGGAGGGAGGGTGCCTTTCTGCCTGCCACTGCCTCCTCAGGGTCTAGCACCATGTGTGGCACATGGCAGACACTCAAGACCCATTTGTTGAAACAAATCTAGCTAAGCCTCAGTCTTCCTATCTGAATGCCTGCCACGTGCCATTCACTGCGGGTGGTGGGACCAGGCAGTGGACCAGACACACAGGTGTGGTCTCTCCTGTCACGGAGCTCGCGGTGCGGTGGGCAAGACAGACACTGAGTATACAATGACTACAGTGCCACGTGGTGCAAATGGTAAAGCATGTAGAGCCATGGGAGCACAGAAGCAGGGGATCTGGAAAGGTCCACCAAGGAAGAGAGGCAGGAGTGACCAGAGGAAAGGGGTGGAGGAATGGAGAAGAGCATTGCAGGAGAGGGAACGGCATGGGTGAGGGTGCTACTGTGGCAGAGAGGGCATGGATTGTTCAAGGCATGAAGTAAGGACAGAGTTGCTGGAGCCGAGAGTGCATTTTGGAGGTGGCAGTGGTTCCGTCTACATGCTTTGATTTTCCTGGGCTGAAGTGGGGTTGAGCTATCTTTTAAAGCTGGCTGGACATTGTCTTCCATACTCCTCCCCACCCTGTCCTCAGGCCCAGGCTGAGGCCCAGCATGGACATATCCAGGCTGTCCCACTGCTCAGGCACACTGTCCTTCACCCCTGAGCACCCACTAGTGTATTCAGGTGACTGGTGGGGGTCCTGCCTATATCTGGTATGGCGGGGCTGTGATACTCGTGTGTGACTTGTTGGGGGTGCAGTATCCTGCGGGAGCAGCCAATCAATCCTGGAGCAGACACTGCTGACAAGTCTGGGGGAGATCCCTTGAAGAGGGAGGGAGCCTGGCCTGGGGCTTGGGGGTGGGTGCACAGCTTGCCCGGGAAATGAGGCGTGACTTACCAGCTGCAGAGACTTCAACAGGCAGGGGAGCACAGGCCCCTGGGCACAGGGCAGGGAGGGCTCCTTCTCCTCCTCCCATCTGTTGCTGTCTTCTTCTTCCTCAAGGGTCCTGGGTAGGGTTCGGGAACTGTCCCCAGCAGGTTTAACTCTTCCTTTGAATTTGGTGGCTCCTCCACAAGTAGCTTGAAGTATGTGTAAAATGAGGTGGCACCTGGCTGGAAATAATGGACTTTAGCTTCCTCATTCCACTGCAGGAATTCCAACCACCACCCCCAACACACACACACACACACACACACACACTGTGCAGCCTAGATCTCTAGTTCTGCCTCCAGCTCACCCATTTCCTAGAATAGTATTTCTGAAAGTGCGAACTTCAGACTTGCTGCATTAGAATCATCTGAAATACTTGTGAAAATGTAGGTTCCCAGGGCACTCTAATGCAAGTGGTTCACAGATTACATTTTGAGAAAGCGTTGTCCTAAAGGATGCCTAATTCTGCCCAAAGAACTGCCAAAGCATTCCTTTCCTTGGAAGTATCTCTCCAAATCCAGCCAGTGATGTCGTCCTTGGAGATCCGACCCTGGACCCTGCATCCCCCATTCACCTCCAGACCTTCACCAGGACGGCAAGCCAGCCCTGCCCCTTCTGGCCCCCTTCCAAATCCCTGCCTCACCGTGCACTGCGTAAACATTTACCAAGGACTATGTGCTGGGTGCGGGGGTTCTGGGAAGAACATGGTAGCCGTGACCTGCGCTTTCATGGGTCTTATAATTTAGCAGTGGAGACAAATATTATAGAAGCAAATAAATAAATAAACGAGATAATAGTGGTAAGTGCTTCAAAGAAGATAAAACAGTTATCTGATAGAAAATGACTGGTCAGGGGCACTGCTTAATTCAGGAGGGTTCAGGAAAGGAGACTACCTTGGTGCCTGTGGTTCCAAGGAAAGTTCTGGAAATGAAAGAAAAAAAAACCCCTTCCTCTCCCTTTGCTACAGTTTTTGTCTCTCTTCTTTCTTTTCTTTAGCTCGGCTTGGCTCTCTGTTTCTGTTTCAGCTCCCTCTTTGTCTCATTTCTTCTCTTTTCTGCAGCTTCCCTCCCTCCCTTTCCCATCACCTCCCTCTTCTTCCCACCCTACCTCCCTCTCTTCTGCTCCCTCCAGAGGAGCTGAAGAAACCAGATCCCTCTGCCTCGCAGGCCAGACAGCAGTAATTGAGCTGCGGGCTCACTCAGCAGCTGGACCTGAGAGTGGGGCTAGAGGAGGGAGCAGGAGGTCAGAGGGGAGCTGGAGGCATGAGAGCAGGGAGGGGCTGGGAGGGCGAGGGCGCTCAGAGGGGCTGGAGGTGGCTGCTCATCCAGGTAATCTAATCAGGGGGTGAGTCATAAAGATTGCTCACTCCCGTGCACAGGACCGGCCCAGGAAATCACATTAATTTAAAGAGGGTGTAAAATCCACGGAGAATTCCCCTCTCTCCACCACACACATGAAGATAAACTGTCTTCAGCTTCCAATATGATCTTACAACAGCTTGTCAGTGACAAAACAGCCTCAAATCCTCCCATTTATCAAACGGCCAATCCTGTTAGCAGCTTAAAAGAGACATAATTACCTGCGGCCCTTTGTGTGATTCTTTATACTAACGCCTCTTCCTTCTTCCTGGCAGCGCTCCAGAACGTGAGCTCAGAATTCATTCCTGGTGGCTGAGGAGATCTTCCGAGATGTTAAAGTTGAGGGGCAAGAGGGAGGGGTTGAGAGGGAAAGCTCTGCGCCGTGGGCAGGTCTCCGGCCGGCCGGGCCGGGGCTCAGCACCATGGACAGGGCCAAGGGCCGCGGGAGCCGGGAGTGGCCCTGTGTACCGAGGGTGAGGAGCAGACAAGCCCAGGCCACACGGGCAGACACCTGAGGGCCAGCCAGGGGCATGCAGGCATCCGGAGGGCTAGGCTCCAGCTGCCATTACAGAGAAGGCAGTGGCCTCTGCCAAGGACAGAAACGCTGACAGCGGGGATAGCGATAGACGTGGCTTGGCCTGTAGATCAGTACTTTGAGTAGAGTTCTCCATCCTCAGGCAGAAACAGGAGTCCCCTCTCTTGACTCCAGAAGAGCTGACACATTTCACGTGAGCTTCTGTGAATTCAGAATCCGCCATGCTGCTACGAGGGTTAATGCTCCTAGCTAATTTTTACTGAGTGCTTGCTGTGGGCCAGGCCCTGTGCTGAGTGCTTCATACACGTGGTCTTAATTAATATAGACCTCCTGCAATCCTATTTTAATATCCCATCTTATAGATGAGGAACCAGATGTTGAGTGAGGCTGAATCACATATCCAAGGTCACCCAGAGCTGATTCAAACTTGTGGTCTATGAACTGGGCTGCCTCCAAGGCAGACTCTGGGCACGATAAGAGATCAGTCTGTGGCTCTGGGTTGGTCTCTCTCTTTCCTTCACACTTCTTGCTATTCCTCAGGGAGCCCAACTGAGGCAGGTCCCTGCTCTCACTACTGTGGGGAAGGAATGAAAAACCCACATGCACAACCTTTCCCTCCATGAAAAGCAAGACAACCTGGAAACCAGCTTCTCTCTGACAAGAGCTCTCCACAAACTCACACCTGCATTCCCTCAGCCCCTCCCTCTCCCTCCTGGCCCCAGGTCCTGCTGCACCTCACCCCCCAACCATTCTAGGAGGCCACCTTGCCCCTCTCCTTCCGCTTCTCACTGCCAAGCCCCTGCTTGCTACCAGCTTTCCCCACACTTCCCTCCATTTTCCCAGGAGGCCCAAAGGAATCCTCTTCTGGCAGGAAACCATCAGAGTCCATTTGGAGGCCAGATAAAGAGGGAGACAGTGAGACAGAAAGCAAGGGACAGATGAGAGACAGACTGAAAATGAATTTTGAAGCACTGTTGAGTTAATGAATGCGGTCAAATCCTGTTGAGAGGCAAGCCAGGGTAAGTTGTCCAGGGGTATCTTAGAGAATTTCTAGGACTCAGCTTGGACTCAGCTGTCTCCCTCTGTGCCCAGCCCTCCAGCCTCACCCTTCTCCTTGCCTGGGCTGCCTCCCAGACTAGCGTCCTTGCCCCCACCCCACCCAGCCTCAGGCATTCATCACTTGGGTTAGTGATTCATCAAAGTCTCCGACAGTCACTGTTTGGCAAAAATCGATCCGTGAAGAATGGGACTGACCCAAGGCCCCCTGTTCTCCTGAGCCCCCACCATCAATCTGCCCCAAAGGAACTCCATGGCTCCAACATCAGCACAGCCCCCAACCCCACTCCAGCCTCGGGTGGGTCTCTGGATCCGTTTCTCTTAGAGAGAAGGGAAAGAAGAAAGGAAAAAGAGAGAAAGAGAAATTGAGAGAGAGTGAGTGTGTTAGTGCCTCCTATTAGATGTTTATTTTGTTGTTTTTAAGTGAGAAAGTCCCAGCTCTATTAAATGCAATCAATACTTGGCCCAAGAGAAGCTTCCCTTCTCTGAGACATTTGAAATCTGGTCAAATCATTTTGCCCCAATACAAAGTAATTTATCAATTTCAAAACCTTTCTAATCAGTGGAGGCTGTGGAGTCCCCACTCCTGCCTGCCATTGTCTGCTGCAAGACACACACGCGCACACACACACGCATACACAGTTGAGCACAAACCCCTCTATTCTCGCTGCAAATCACCCTCCCCCCCTCCCTCCCTCCCACCTCCCAGGGACTGCAGAATGTGCTCCCCTCAGCTCAGCCTCCAGGCCGGGTGCCATCCCCGGCATCTTCAGCCCAGCCTGCTGCTCCTAGCCCGAGAGGTGGCAGCCCCTGGAGCTCTGGGGAGGCGGAGGTAGGCGCGAGTCCAGCCACAGCGCACCGCTGAGTGCGCTCCTCTGCCCCCGGGGGGTAAACGGCTGGGTCAGGGGCGATTTCTGTTTGCAGACGGAGCTTGGAACTGGGGCCAGGAGGATGGAAGGGGCCTCAGGGCCACCAAACTTGTCCCTTAGGACCTTGGCTCAAGTCTCCAAGGGGCAAGCAAGCTTTGCTGGCTGGAGTGAGGTTTGCTGGCTGAACCTGGGGATGATGTCACAACACTCTCCTGCCTCCGAAGCTGCTATTTTTGCCCTCGAGGACAGGCTGTGTCTAAAGGGAGATTGCGACAGCAGCAAAATCACCTTGCAACTCACCCTCCCGCTCCCAGAAGAGTGGCTTGAGCCTCTGCCTCTCCATTAGATTGGATTCTCCGCAGGTCTTTTGTGGCCGCCAGCTGTGGTGGCCAGATAGGCCATTGGCCTCTGGGGAGGGGCCACCCACCGAATGGCTGATTTCAATGCTCTTCTGACAAGGGACTCTGCAGGTTCGGCCCTCAGAGGGTGACTGAGGGAAGTGACTCAGCGAACCAGAGGCCTAGTCCACCAGGGAACTCAAGAACATAGATGACATGTGTCAGGCGAACGTGATAACCACTACACTACGGAAACATAGATGACATGTGAACTTGCTGAGACCTCTACCCCCAGGACAGTCAATGCAGGGGCCTTACCTTGGCCTTCAAGGCCCCTCCAACAGCCCTAACCTAAAATCTCTATGCCTAGTGTTTGGAAGGCGCTCTGTAAATATGGATGCAGTCAAAGAGTAGGTGGAAACCTCTGTGTAGTTCTGCGCCTATTCTGTGCCTTCCCTCCCCAAATCCATTAATACCACAGCTCCTCTAGGGCTCGGACCAAGAGCTTTGCACATCTTTGGAGCCCTCATATCTCCTTGCCCAGGGCTCTGCACAAAGTAATATTAAACCAGAGTGAGCACAGTGCCCTACGGTTTACGAGGTATTTTGGTATTAACTGTCTAATTTAATTCTACAATAATGCCAGGGGATAGGTATTATCCTATTTTATACTGAGAGAACCCAAGTTCAGAGAGGTGAAGTCACTTGTCCCAAATGACACAGAAAGTAAACAATAAACCTGGGATGCCAATCTTAGTTCTCTGAATCCAGATCTTAAAATCTTCCCACATTTTTTCATTCATTCATTCATTCATTATTTAAATATGGAACATTCTCTTCATGCCAAATGTTAAGCTTTCTTCATGGCAATCTAAAACTAGGTGACATTATACCTTTTTTGTAGATTGGGAAAACAGAAGTGAAATGATTTGCCCAAGGTAGCACGGCAAATAAGAGGTGGAAGTAGATTGAACCCAGTTCTTTTGATCTTAAAAGAGATTACCATTATACTACCCAAAAAGTTTTGCAGTAACATCCATAAAGAGCTTGCTACATACCAAGCACTATCCCATTTAATCT